TTTCTGATATGAACTGTTTATGTCGTCTTTGCTGTTCGTATGCCTTTTGTTTACTATTCGTTTGGAGACTACTAAGCTAATTTCGATAAAGTTACTGCATTGATAGAGAACACGGTGAAAAATTTTTATCCAATATATTTGAGATTTAGATCGACGTTATTATAATTACAATTTTAACCAGTTATTTCTTGCTACAGATGGCGCCACAATACCTAGTCGTATGCTAACGGCAATAACATTTTGTTAATCAATTTTGCAAAGAAAATTTCACAGAAAAATTATATTAAATAAATGATGAAATGCATGTCCATACTTGTCGTTACTCCCACCCACTAAAAAAAAGATGAAAGTGATGTTCTTAAAGTTGGATCTAATTTAACATATAACATAGCACAATGTTTAGGGACAACAAGGGACTTGTTCGTCCATCTCGGCTCTTCCATCCTCTAAACTAAACTATTACGAATAAATAAAAAAATATTAAAGCCAGCTCGTATCATTCATATATTTATCAAACTTTCTCTTAAACTCTGTTAAATTTACTGCCTCTACAACATCCGAAGGCAACCTATTCCAGAGGCTAACCATCCTGTTAGAAAAATAAAACCGTCTTAGCTGAACATGATTCTTACCTTGCCAAAATTTATATTTGTGTCCTCTAGTCCCACTATTCTCGCCATTAAGTATTAAAAAAAGATGATTCATTAATACTATGAATTCCCTTTACAATCTTAAACATCTAAATCAGATCCCCTCTAACTCCTCTTTTTTTCAAGAGAAAACAGTTTCAAATATCTTAATCTCTCCTCATATGACAAACCCTTCATTGAATGCACCATTCTAGTAACCCTCCTCTGAACCTTTTCCAACAATTCAGTGTCTTAATTAAGATAAGGAGCCCAAGGCTGAACACAATACTCTAAATGTGATCTAACCAGTGACCTGTATAATGAAATTATAACCTCTTTAGACTTGTATTCAATATTTCTGTAGGTACAACCTAAAATTCTATCTGTTCTGCCACTAACAACAGCACACTGCTTGACTGGCTTTAGAGAGTGATCAACCATCGCACCAAGATTCCTTTCCTTCATAACACTGTTATGGTTATTTCCACTCAAATTATGATAACCCACATGCATTATCTTGCATTTATTATAATTAAAATCCATTTGTCATTTATTTGCCCAACTCACTGAATGATCTAAACCCTTTAGTTAATCAGCAGCATCCTCTTCACAGCTAGCAACACCCAAGACCTTAATATATAAAGCAAATATAAGTCATTTATTGACAATTCCTTAATCTATTTATAAACTCCCTTTATAACAAACCTCTACTTTCTTCCATTCAGCCACTCTTCTATCCAATTAGCTAACTTATCCCGCACACCTATAGAGAGAATTTTTAAAGCCTTTTATGTGGCACCTTGTCAAAGGCTTTCTGAAAATCCAGATACACCAAATCTACACCCTTACCACCATCTACGTAAGCTGTAACCTTTTCAAAGGATGTCAAAAGCCATGTTAACTATCCAATAAAGTTCTAAAGTATGTTTTCAATGACTTTGCAGAGACTCTTTTATTAGATTTTTAAAACGTTTCCCACAACTGATGTAAGACTAATGGGCCTATAATTACTAGGACAATTTTTATCACTCCCTTGAAAAGAGGAGTGACATTAGCTAACATACAAGCCTCTGGTACCTGCCTACTATTCAAGAACTGACAAAAAATAGTAGCAAGTGGCTAATCTCCGCCAAATCCTTAGGGAAATATGACGTGGACCAGGAACCTTGTCATTTTTTAAACTTCTCAATTTTCTCTTAACAAGCTTCAAATTAATGCAATCATATTGTCCGACCTTGTTTTCATCGATCAACTGTTCAGGATGAGGAATACTGTTTAAAAATTCATCAGTAAAAACTGGACAAAAAGCACAATTTAATAACCCAGCCATCTTATAATCATTAGATACAAACCTTCCTTTACCCCTCAAGGTTCCTACCTCTATCCTAGCATTTTGTTTATCCTTAATGCACTTAAAGAAATCCCTATTGCTAATTTTTACATTTTAAGCCAACCATTTTATAGAACCTTTTTGATGTCAATATTTTAAACATGACCAACTTTCTTGATCTTCTATAGTCTTCTAAATCTATAAATATTGAAGCTCAAATCAACAATAGTTATATGAAATATTTTTTCAATGTCTGCCTCCATGCGCTTAATGTTCAAATAAGTGACATTTATTTTAGGAGCTGCTATTATCTAGTGGCACACTTTGGTACTATACCTCAGTAATAAACTATCAGTGAATTCAGCTATCTAATTATATTATGAAATCACCGAAGATTATGACAGTTAAGTATATAAGGTAGAATGGTGGTACTTGGAATGTAATAAAACTGAAAATAGCAGTGGATATACTATTTTTTATCCTTCTTTTAATATTATCACACATTTATATATGTGCCCACTTTATTCACTGTCAAAAAGCCATATTTTGTAGTTACTGTAAACTTCTCACAAACTCCAACTTTAGAAAAATACTAACTCAAAAATATAAAATAAAATAAATGATTTACTCTACACACATCTTAATAAAATTATATTTATTTATTGCTTCGAATGAACGTCTCGCTATGGAACATTGTATGGTTGAAAAGAGCTTAGGCTGATTTATTGACTGGTGATTTTTTTTAACAAATGTTTACGATTTTGGTTTTACTTATGTACCAAGGATTTCAATTAGTTTATTTACTTATAAGCTCTTGGTTAAAACAAACCAGTCGCGACACCAAAATGTTAAAAGTGAGGGTCAACGGTTCCAAACTAATAGTTTTGTGCGACTGATTTAGTTTTATTTTAACTTAAAAGGATAACAGGGAAAACATAGAAGATAAATTAGAAAGCTCTAAAGATGTTTCGTATTTTGTTTCAATAAACTTAAAATTGCAAGGTGACACATATTGAGTAACTTCCAAAGATCCTCAGTTTTTACATTGATTGGTTCCCACCCCACCCCTCTCCACCTGACCTCTGAATGAATATAGTTCATATTATATATTCTTTTCAGAAATGAATTATATTTTCACGTTAAAAGTACATTTAGAAACGAATATGTTTTCTTTTACGGACTAAAAAAACGGAAACGATGATGGTAAGCGTTACAAGAATGCATTTTAAAACATTTTTAGATGTAAAATAAAATTATAACCTATTTATATTTTAATATGTAATTAGTTGTAGTATATCAAATAATCGTTAAAATGTACTTTAAAGTAACATAATTTGAAAAAGAAGAATAAATTTTAGATTTTTTTATTATGTTCGCGAAAATATGTAAAATTATTTCGACACTAACGTCTAGAGATCTCTCTTAAAGAATTTGAGAAATGTTTATTTTAGGGAAAAGCAGTTAAATTTTGTATTTGATATATATATAATCTTAGCAAGAAGCAAAGATTTTATGCGTTTTAAAAACATATACTTCATACAGATTTATATTTTGTGCTTACTGTTACGACAGCGGAAGTCACGCGACGCTGGTGTTTCTCGAAGGATCATGAATTTTCCTGGCAACTCTAGTTTGTTGCAGACGCCCTCCATTTTAGTATATAAGCCCGGCAAATAAAGCCAGGGAAAAAGATAGAATTGCATAGATCGAAGAGAAATGCAGATAGATCTAAGAGATAGATAATTGAGTCAAGCGTACGGTAGGCAACGTAAGTAAAGTGTGTGAATCACTGTGATTTATAGCGTGTGCTATAAAGGTTGTTAAGTTTAAAGTAACTGTGGAAATTCTGTGTACTAAAAAGTTGTATCAAGAAAGAATAAACTAGTCTTAATTAAAAAAGAACTTGTATTGCTGAAGTTCCTCGGAAAGAATTTATACCGGAAATTAACAAACGATCAGATACGTAACATCACTTTATCCAGTCGTGAAAAACAACGTCTTCTTGCTATTTATTGTTAGTATATAAGAAAAATAAAGAACGACAACGTACTGAGTAAATGGATAAGTTACATGAAGACAAAATGGTTATTATTTTTTGAGGTCATGACACAATTTTTAAGAAAAACGACAACAAAACTAAACAAACTATAAGTATTTCTAGCGGATATTAAAAACCCATTTTATGGGATTGACGATAATGACAGTTTTACCAACATAAAGAATTGTTTTATACATATATTATTATTAGTTGAATTCTAAAAAATTAAATATTGTTCGCAGACTTTAAAATTTTTTTATGACTTATTGTGTTCAGTATTTACTGTACTTTTTAATAAAATAATTTTGTTATTATTTGTAAAAAATCATATTGATGTATCGTCGGCTATTACGGTAATTATGTATTGAAATTCACTTCGACAGTCTAAGGCGTGTGTTATCGCTGTTTAATGCAAGCCTACTTGACAATATGTAGGCTTAAGTGTGACGTTATGTAAACTAGTGAAGAGTTACGTTAGAATTAGTAATTGAAACAAGTAGACATCAAGCAATCCCCCATTAGGTCAGCGGTAAGTTAATTGTATTACAATTCTAAAATCCGTATTTGAATAGTCGAGATGGACAGAACACTTTCATTCAAAAATGGCGACCCCATCAGGCGCTACTTTGTTTGTTTGTTTGAATTTCGCGCAAAGCTACACGAGGACTATCTGCGCAAACCGTCCGTAATTTAGCAGTGTAAGACTAGAGGGAAGGCAGCTAGTCATCACCATCCACCGCCATCTCTTGGGCTACTATTTTACCAACGAATAGTGGGATTGACCGTCACATCATAACGGCCCCACGGCTGAAAGGGCGAGCATGTTTGGTGTGATGGGTATTCAAACCCTCAGATTACGAGTGAAGCTCCCTAACCACCTGGCCATGCCGGGCCCCAGACGCTGCTATCATGATTGAAAATCGTCAGTGTCGTATTTGACTTCCATGCTAATGAAAAAAACAAGTAAAGACACTTATAGCCCTACATTTTCTGCGTGTATAAAAAGTGTTTATTTTCACCACAGTAATTTTATATAGGCTATACTTTAATAATCAAAAAGAATGTTTATTTAAGATGTTCAGCATGCGCACAGTATCCCACGACGTTTTTCGCTAACCGTCGTCTTCACAAGGTGAGTTAGGTTCGCAGGAAACTTATGTCTAAGTGCTGACATTAGAGGAAGTGGGTGTAGAAACTGTGTCAAGGCGTTGTTGGTATCATTCAACTTTAATCTAGCAAAAAGCGACACCAGTACTCATGTTAGTCTCAGATAAACGCGACACCAGTATTCATGTTAGTCACAGAAAAACGCGACGAAAAAGTAAACCTATAAAAAAACTGGGCTTCTAATTTATGTGTGGGAGACAGGTTTACAATAATAATGGGATTAAAAGTATTTTGGATTGCAACTGAATGTGGTCATATAAGCCTATTACATTGCTTGAGAAGTTTCGGTGTAGAAAGGGCCAGATGGCACCACAAGCGGAGTGTTTGATTTTATTCGGAAGAGCGTCGCACAGGGAGTTCTTCCTTCGCGAACGTGCATACAGTACAGTCTACAGACGACGTACAGTAAAGTCATGCCTTTAATTATACAGCGATTCATACAGGTAAACAGTTTTCACTAATTAGTTTATATTTCGTTCCAACACGAGCTAATGGTGACGTAGTTGTGAACGGTTAGTTTTTCAACGTATCAACCGACCAATCACAGATTTTTTTAAAACTGTACACGAGACTCGGTAAAAATGAAATATGAAGTCCCCTAGTAACTTTCTCTCGATATTATTAAACTCTAATTCTGTCTGTCATTCCTTGAAAGTTCATGTGAACTCTCCGGAGGAATATCGTAACAGATACACACACACGACGATGGAAATCGGAACCAATCGGAAAAGATTCCTCGACATTCGTTTTTAGGATCTAAGGCCAGAAGTCGATGAAGTCGGTATTGTTGTTCACAACGGCAGCCGACTCTACAATACATCTGCTGATATTCATACCTATTAAAAAAAATATCAGTCTGTCACAAAAAGACGATTTACAATAAATATATATTTTTTACAACATTACATATAGTATGTTTCACAATCAATAAAACTTTTCCTTATGTTTGCCTACCCATTCTTATATTAACATAAGGCGCTTCCTTACTCAAGTAACGTTACATCTGTTGGTGTTTTACATTGATATAAACTGTGACGTTTTTGATTCGTATAAACTTTGGATTAGTTTACCATTTGGAAATAAAGGTTGAAACTGTAAAGTGAAACTAGTACAAATTACACTCAATACAATACACTGGTAGTATGCTGTTAGGGTTAAAAAGTTTCAGTAAAGGTGTTTAGATTTGTAGGAATTTATTGTAATAATATTGCTATGTAGCATTGTTGTAAAGTAACATGTAAGATGACGAAAGCTAATAACTTATTTATAGACACATGGATATTATATCATTATTGTTGACCAATAAATGTAAAGATGAACCACAAAACTAGAACGATGAACTAAGGTTTATTAAAATAATAAATAACACATAACATTAAAATAGGTACATAATTAAAAACGCTTTAATTAAAGCCAATGTAAGACTAATAAAAAATTGACTCTACATGTTTCGACGTTGCAACGTCATATTTAGGAGTGAGTTGCAAGACGTAACAATATCTTATTTACACTTTTATTATTATCAAATAGTTCACGTGACCTGTGTAAAGGTTACAATTCCCGCGTGAAATTTCTAAAGAAGGTCACGCCACGTTTTTGCATGAATATTCGCTGGGCCTTCATCTCTATCTAATAATATATGGTTTTTTATATTTAATTATTTCCAAGGATTCACGAATATTATTGGCTGTAATACATTTTGGTTGAGCCAATATTACAGATTTTTCCTACAATACTGTATGTTATGTTTCGTCATAACAGAACATGTACATTGAACACAACATACGGTATTGTGGGAAGATGACGTAACAATGTCGAAACAATTAAAGTCAAGTTTTTAGTAGTCGTAGATTGGCCAAATGTTTTTAAATGTGTACCTATTGTTATTTATTATTTTAACAGGATATTTTCTCTTTCATGCACCGCGTTCAAAGCGAAAATAATATATATTTTTGAATGTAGTTTTTAATGCTGATTTCAAAAATATAAATTAAAATTTGGAGATATGAAAAGAAATATTTATTTTTATTTTGCTAGGTTAGGTCAGTTTATGTGAGATTAAATCAAGTTAGTCTAATTAGTAAATAATTACATGTTTATTTAAATTAAAACAAATTTATTTAAAAAAATTCTTAAAAAATGAATTTTTCCCCATTTCTTCAACTTTAAAAATCAATTCCCTAAATTTAAATTTGTCTTTCTGAAATTTGCAGCAAATTGAAAGTACTTGGAATGTGGCTAAGAGACGTAACAAGCGACGTAACAAATTCGTTTGGCGTCGTAGACATGAAAATGAAGATCCTTTCAAGTATATATTTAATAATATTTCTGAATTTTCACACTGAATTTTTTACATTGACACTAGATACTTTGTATTGTCTTGATGTCTTGGAATTCTTTAAATATATAGGTATATATATATAATGCCAAGAGTATTTCCTTTGTTTCGTAATTAAAATAAAAAATATTTCTTTTCATTTCTCCAAATTTTAATTTATATTTCTGAAACCAACATTAAAAATATAAATATAAGTATATATATACTTCTTTCTATTCGAACGCGGTGCATGAAACATAAAATATCATGTTAACATTATTCAGCCAGGTATATATATATATATTGTCATGTTAACATTATTCACCCAGGTATATATATATTACTCTACAGGAGTTAGTGTGTCTGTATAGTATACGAATCAAAATATTTAACAGAATAAATACTCAGCTATTTTAGTATTCCGTTCTTAAAGGAATGTCAAAGTTAGAGCTGGTTGTTAGTATTCCGCTCTTAAAGGAATGTTAAAGTTAGAGCTGGTTGTTAGTATTCTGCTCTTAAAGCAATGTTAAAGTTAGAGCTAGTTGTTAGTATTCCGCTCTTAAAGGGATGTTAAAGTTAGAGGTGGTTGTTAGTATTCCACCCTTAAAGCAATGTCAAAGTTAGAGCTGGTTGTTCATTTTCTTTCTGTTTTGTTTTGTTCTATGAACTCAAACACTACAAACTTACGCGCATTTTTCCCAGTTGACGTATTGTTCAAATGGATAAACGTTGAGCAAGGCGAGAGTCTCACCTCGAGTGTTGTTGGCCCAGTATGGTGCAACGACTTCTTCCTTTACCGGACACGCATTCCTAAAGTGGACAGAGAGGTTATATTAGAAGTGACATCCATCCCAGGTGGTAGTGAGGTTATATTAGAGGGTATATCCATCCCAGATGGACAGAGAGGTTATATTAGAGGGTATATCCATCCCAGATGGACAGAGAGGTTTTATTAGAAGGAACATCCATCCCAGGTGGACAGAGAGGTTATATTAGAGGGTATATCCATCCCAGATGGACAGAGAGGTTATATTAGAAGTGACATCCATCCCAGGTGGACAGAGAGGTTATATTAGAGGGTATATCCATCCCAGGTGGACAGTGAGGTTATATTAGAACGTATATCCATCCCAGGTGGACAGAGAGGTTTTATTAGAAGTGACATCCATCCCAGGTGGACAGTGAGGTTATATTAAAAGTGACATCCATCCCAGGTGGACAGTGAGGTTATATTAGAACGTATATCCATCCCAGGTGGACAGAGAGGTTATATTAGAGGGTATATCCATCCCAGATGGACAGAGAGGTTTTATTAGAAGGAACATCCGTCCCAGATGGACAGAGAGGTAAGATTAAAAGGGACATCCATCCCAGATGGACAGAGAGGGTATATCCATCCTAGACCTTACATCAATATACAAGGTAGGATAACTGGATGAAGAAAATACAGTTGATACCATCATACAATATTAGCTTTGTTATATATGGTTGCTTACTAAACTAATATTTACTAGCAGTAATGCATACTATTTAACCAGAACTAGGTGTAATATCTTTCTTCAGCTGTAAAAAATATTGTTTAAACAGAACCAGGTGTTTCTATATAAAACTGTGTTAGCGTCTTTAGTTGTGATTGATTATTAAATATCTTTCTTCAGCTGTAAGGAATATTATAATGTTTTGTATTGGAAGGAATATTACTTAACATATCATTGTTTTGTGGAACATAGTCTTTTAATTCCTAATAATTTCTTTTAACACACTCTACGGCTTATATCACTGCTGTAAGTTTGTCTTAACACACTCTATGGCTTATATCACTGCAGTAAGTTAGTCTTAACACACTCTATGGCTTATATCACTACAGTAAGTTAGTCTTAACACACTCTACGGCTTATATCACTGCAGTAAGTTTGTCTTAACACACTCTATGGCTTATATCACTGCAGTAAGTTAGTCTTAACACACTCTATGGCTTATATCACTGCAGTAAGTTAGTCTTAATACACTCTACGGCTTATATCACTGCAGTAAGTTTGTCTTAACACACTCTATGGCTTATATCACTGCAGTAAGTTAGTCTTAACACACTCTACGGCTTATATCATTGCAGTAACTTTGTCTTAACACACTCTACGGCTTATATCACTGCAGTAAGTTTGTCTTAACACACTCTACGGCTTATATCACTGCAGTAAGTTAGTTTTAACACACTCTACGGCTTATATCACTACAGTAAGTTTGCTGAAAAATCATTAAAGTTGTCACTAATAATAGAATAAAATGTAGTAAACATTGAGAAAACAAAGGTAAATCATTTCCTCAAGTTTTCGTCAAAAATTGCAGAATCTCAAAGATTTTTAATCCGAAATAAATAAATTAAAGGAATCTGTGTGGAAGGAAAAAACGTGTAGTTTTACGTGATTTTTATCACAAATGTTAGGCCTATCAGTTTCTAGTGTTTATCCAGCTTTCGGCGCTAAACCGCAACATTTTAACAATATAACATATTTTAGGCTTTGCTGTGTAACCGTGACTACAGAAATTTTTAAACTATGTTACTAGGCTATACGAAAAACAACGGTTGAAAATAGAAACGAAACGAAAAGAATTGATATGGATATCAATATATATATATATATATATATGCATACAGCGTGTATAAAAATATCTTAACTGTATGAAATTTCGGTTTCGTACACTGATTAAATATTTATGAAAATAGGGTTTCAAAGAACGTTACAGAAAGGTATTGGTAAAATATATTACACACATTTTTATTGTTTTATTCTAATAAATAAGGGAATGAATATAATGTAAAACATGAAGACAGGTTACATAAAACAAATCAATAAATTATAACAGAAAGTCATGTCCAACCTGTATGTTTCTCTTTAAACAGGTATTGTTTCACATCAATGTTAGTAGAACAAATATACAAATGAGTCAATAACACATATGTTGATACTTTCACGGTATAATATAATCATTCATTAAGTACCTTCAACCATCGCAAAGCCACTAGAGGGCCATCCGCGCTAGCCGTCTCCAATTTTGAAGTGATAGACTAGAGAGAAGGCAGTTAGTCCACACCACACACCGCCGATTCTTTAGCTAATCTTTATTTACTACTACCGGGATTAACTGGCACATTATAACGCTCCTAAGGATGAACTGGCGAGAGTGTTCGGTGACGCGATTCGAGTACCATAAGCACCAGGCCGTTTTCTTTATTCTAAAATACGTGTATGCGTGTTTTTTTTTTGTTATTCTTTTTATTAATATTAATCAACCGAAAAGGATAGCAATGTCATGGTAACGATTTTGTCAATAAAATTAATTTTTATAATGAAGAAAATGTCTTGAAGCATACTTACACTCCAACTTTTGTAGTGGTCTTCTCGTTTTCTTCTGTGTCCGAGTTCAGGTAATTGGAGTTTATGAAGTTGATCTTTTCTTGCAGGTCACTCGTATCTTCATCATACAGCGGACTGTAAGTGTTTTTATCCTTTCCTGTAGTCTTCGTATCACTTTGGTGTGAAGTTACTGGGTCGTTAGCTGTCATTTCTAGTGTTTCCTTCGAAGACAAAGTAGCCTCGGTTGAATCACCAGTCGTAAGGAAGGAAGGTATTGATTCTGTGGCGGAAGTACTCGATGCTTCCGTTTTCCTAAAACTGTCCCCTTCACTGATGGTAGCCGGATCTTTTTCAGGACTGATTGTCTCTGGAGTCTCCGTAGAACCTTTACGATTCGACTCCATTGGAAATAAATTTATGACCTGAGGAAACACTTGATGTCGTGAATTTAGTCGCACTCGAGCAGCCTTTTGGTTTCGAAAATCAGGAAATTCTGGAGTGTTGATGTACCGTGACCGTCTGGTTTCTATATCTTGTTGAAGAATGAAGCTGTGACGTTGGTCTCCATACATTCGCCTCACAAGTCCTTGGTTATCGTTTATATATCTTCGAACGGAATGCCTAAAGAGAATAGTAGAAACCATAATAAAACTAAGATGGTTACGGTAGAAACCATTATTAAACTAAGATGGTTACGGTAGAAACCATTATTAAACTAAGATGGTCACGGTAGAAACCATTATTAAACTAAGATGGTTACGGTAGAAATCACTATTAAACTAAGATGTTTACGGTAGAAACCATTATTAAACCAAGATGGTTACGGTAGAAACCATTATTAAACTAAGATGGTTACGGTAGAAATCATTATTAAACTAAGATGGTTACGGTAGAAACCACTATTAAACTAAGATGGTTACGGTAGAAACCATTATTAAAATAAGATGGTTACGGTAGAAAATATTATTAAACAAAGATGGTTACGGTAGAAACCATTATTAAACAAAGATGGTTACGGTAGAAACCATTATTAAACTAAGATGGTTACGGTAGAAACCATTATTAAACTAAGATGGTTACGGTAGAAATCATTATTAAACTAAGATGGTTACGGTAGAAACCATTATTAAACTAAGGTTGGTTACGGTAGAAATCATTATTAAACTAAGATGGTTACGGTAGAAACCATTATTAAACAAAGATGGTTACGGTAGAAACCATTATTAAAATAAGATGGTTACGGTAGAAACCATTATTAAAATAAGATGGTTACGGTAGAAAATATTATTAAACAAAGATGGTTACGGTAGAAATCATTATTAAACAAAGATGGTTACGGTAGAAACCATTATTAAACTGAGATGGTTACGGTAGAAACCATTATTAAACTAAGATGGTTACGGTAGAAACCATTATTAAACAAAGATGGTTACGGTAGAAACCATTATTAAACAAAGATGGTTACGGTAGAAACCATTATTAAACTAAGTTGGTTACGGTAGAAAATATTATTAAACTATGATGATTACGGTAGAAAATATTATTAAACTAAGATGGTTACGGTAGAAACCATTATTAAACTAAGATGGTTACGGTAGAAACCATTATTAAACTAAGATGGCTACGGTAGAAACCATTATTAAACAATATAATTTTTAGCCCCCACAGTGGGTGAGAGCTTATAACATTAAAAACATGGTTTCGATACTCGCGGTGGGCAGAGTACAGGTAGCCCATTGCGTAGCTTCATATTAGGCAACAAACAGGTTTAGTAACATTAAGGACAAAATCACACAATGTTAAATAACTCTTCACCGGCTGGTATCAAATCCTCTAATAACTGTCAGAAAACTTTTCACAACAACATTATTAACTAAAAAATACGTTTTTATTAATAATTATGAGTTCTGTTTTAATTATGATTAAAGCTTGTGATGATTGAACAGTTCGTTACCATGGGTATGCACTCCCAGGGAGAGAACAGTAGGATGATCTAGTCATGTCACATGGAATATCTGTCAGAAAACGGGCGCTAATGCGTGGGCCACAAGATTGACTTTCTACTTGGAATATTAAAGCTGCCAAACTCCAGCAAAACTGGAAAAAATAAAGTGATTTTCCAAGTTGCATTATATACTTCACTAATACATATACAGTTTTCACTGCCCTCTAGTGAATTTAAAACGTACTTTAAAAATATAAAAAAACACGAAATTAATAATATGAAGCATATATTAAAAGTTTCCATCTTCAGTAATCTTCAGGAAAAATGTGATATAATTTGTAATACATAAGAAGCAAACAATTTAAATATAAAAAATATAACAAGAGAAAATGAAAAGTATATAACACGAATAAAACAGTTCAATTCAAATAGATTGAAACCAAGTTTAGAATGTGCATAATACGCTAATAATACACCACAAGTCCATTATTGAATCTAATAAAAGGTGTTTTACATTATTAGCGTCATGAAAGAGTATGTTAAAACTTTGGCTAACAATACACAACAAGTACATTACTGTATCTAATAAAATGTGTGTTAAAGTTTTAACATACTCTTTCATGACGCTAATAATCTGACTAACAATATACCACAAGTCCATTATTGTATCTAATAAAGGTGTCTTACAGTTTTAACATACTCTTTCATGACGCTAATAATCTGGCTAACAATACACAACAAGTTCATTATTGTATCTAATAAAAGGTGTTTTACAGTTTTAACATACTATTTCATGACGCTAATAATCTGACTAATAATACGCCACAAGTCCATTATTGTATCCAATAAAGGTGTTTTACAGTTTCAACATACTCTTTTCATGACGCTAATAATCTGACTAATAATACACCACAAGTCCATTATTGTATCCAATAAAAGGTGTTTTACAGTTGTAACATACTATTTCATGACGCTAATAATCTGACTAACAATACACCACAAGTCCATTACTGTATCTAATAAAAGGTGTTTTACAATTTTAACATACTCTTTGATGACTGTAATCCACAAGTCGAGTTTTTTCTCAATAACGTGTAGTAATATTTCTGATTAATATAATATTACACTGTAATAGTAGTGAAGAATTCTTAGCTTAAACCTAATTAATATAATATTACACTGTAATAGTAGTGAAGAATTCTTAGCTTAAACCTGATTAATCTAATATTACACTGTAATAGTAGTGAAGAATTCTTAGCTTAAACCTGATTAATATAATATTACACTGTAAGAGAAGTGAAGAATTCTTACCTTAAACGTCAAGATGACTTTTGTTTCTTGTCATGTGTATTTCTGTAGACCATTTCTCCTTATTAGTTTAGAAAAATATCGCTAAAAACGTTCTAACCTATAGATCACTTGTTTAATGAATCACCAGTCCTTTCGCACGAATTAATAGTTTATTAACGAATCACTAGGCATTCTACATGAATTAGCAGTTTTTTATTCAATGAATAGGTATTTCACATTAATTAGCAGTGCATTAATTCACGCACTATAAATATATATATATATTATAAATTAACTAATTGTTTATTAATCCATCAATAAGTATTCCACATGAATTAACAGATCATTAATGCATCAGTAGATATTCCACATGAATTAACAGTTCATTAATGCACCAGTAGATATTCTACATGAATTAGCAGTTAATTAATGCATCAGTAGATATTCTACATGAATTAGCAGTTAATTAATGCATCAGTAGATATTCCACATGAATTAACAGCTCATTAATGCATCAGTAGATATTTTACATGAATTAACAGCTCATTAATGCATCAGTAGATATTCTACATGAATTAACAGCTCATTAATGCATCAGTAGATATTCTACATGAATTAACAGTTAATTAATGCATCAATAGATATACCACATGAATTAACAGCTCATTAATGCATCAGTAGATATTCTACATGAATTAACAGCTCACTAATGCACCAGTAGATATTCCACAATAATTAACAGATCATTAGTGCACCAGTAGATATTCTACATGAATTAACAGATCATTAATGCATCAGTAGATATTCCACGTGAATTAATAGATCATTAATGCATCAGTAGATATTCTACATGAATTAACAGATCATTAATGCATCAGTAGATATTCCTCATGAATTAACAGATCATTAATGCATCAGTAGATATTCCTCATGAATTAACAGTTCATTAATACACCAGTAGATATTCTATATGAATTACCAGATCATTAATGCATCAGTAGATATTCTACATGAATTAGCAGTTCATTAATACACCAGTAGATATTCTATATGAATTAGCAGTCCATTAGTCTAATCTATCACTAGCTATTTCACATGAACTAGCAGTTCATTAATCAATCAATAGATGTTCAACATGAATCAACAATTCGTGCAAATTAAGTTATTGAAATAAATTGAGGTATTTCTTGATAAATATTTGTCAAGTATTACACAAAGACGGAAGTAATTTATACAAAGACTTTTAGGAAAGATTATACTTTTATTTTAAGAAGAATTGGATTCTTCTCCAGGAGTTGTGTCAGTAGAGATTAGTAGGGAGGAATTCCATGGTGGGATTGATATTTTTCAGATGTATTATCTAACCTCGATGTTACATCTTCGGAGATTACATCTTCGTCTACAGAATCAGTTGTATAGCTACTAAAGTTGTTATAAATATCTTCCAAACGTTTCAAGTTCATTAACCATTTTATCAAAGCATGGTCCACCCAGATGGCGAACCTTCTACCATACAAGTAATGGTAACACCGTGTTTTAAACAATAGAAACATTAGCAGCCCTTTCTTTGTCGTATATTATCTACATTCAGGGGGCATGAGCATACGACCAGTGTCCATGATTACACGTTGTACTTCATCCTCTAACTGCCTCTCCACTTACATCTAGTCTATCGTCAGAACAAAGTCGGTATCCACTGGCCAGAATGGTGGTCTCACTTGGAGGGCTTGATATGTTCTGGCTGTTTCTGTGTTAGTTAGTAACTCGATCTCTCGTCCTTGTGCCCCACATTCAGCGCTGAGAGAACTGAGCTGACCACCATATCTGCCATGCTCCTCCAAGATAGTGTCCAGGACTGACTTGGGATCCATTATTTCTCCATAGCTTTATCAGAAGTATTTACTAGATGCTGTCGCTTTCTTGGAAATTCTGAGATATTACTCTAAACTGATAGCCTTGCCTACTTAGCTGCTTCACAAAGTACAGGTGCTACTGGTACTTTGGCATCTGCTAAGCCATTAGTTGGAACTGACAGCCTAATTCACTTTGCTACTCGGCAAAGTACTGGTGCTTTTGATTTTTCAACTGGAACCAATAGCCCTGTCACCTTTGCTGTTAGACAAGGTATGGACTGTTTACACACTGCTGATGACCCAACATACCACAAGTACTCTTGTCCTGATTTTACGAAAACTAGGGTGATGATATTCCTCACATCAAGCTAGTGCCTCATAACCTTATTTGGAAGCCACTTTACAACCTTATCTACTAGTATGTCTGCTGAAGCCATCGCAGTGCAGTTCATGTGTACAAGACGAGAATTGTGGAGGTAATATCACAACTAACCAGCTGCGTTTATTCCAAGATGTTCGAAACGAGCATTGTTTTAACATAAAGAAGGTGTATTTTATGATTCTCAACTATAGTGTATTTTATGATTCTCAACTATAGTGTATTTTATGATTATCAAGTATAGTGTATTTTATGATTCTCAACTATAGTGTATTTTATGATTATCAAGTATAGTGTATTTTATGATTCTCAAGTACAGTGTATTTTATGATTATCAAGTATAGCGCATTTTATGATTCTCAACTATCGTGTATTTTATGATTCTCAAGTATCGTGTATTTTATGATTCTCAACTATAGTGTATTTTATGATTCTCAAGTACAGTGTATTTTATGATTATCAAGTATAGCGTAATTTATGATTCTCAAGTATATTGTATTTTATGATTCTCAACTATCGTGTATTTTAGGATTCTCAACTATAGTGTATTTTACGATTCTTGACTATATTGTCTTTCACTGTTCTCAACTACAGTGTATTTTACGATTCTCAAGTAAGGTGTATTTTATGATTCTCAACTATAGTGTATTTTATGATTCTCAAGTATATTATATTTTATGATTCTCAACTATCGTGTATTTTATGATTCTCAACTATAGTGTATTTGACGATTCTTGACTATAGTGTATTTTACGATTCTTGACTATAGTGTATTTTATGATTCTCAAGTACAGTGTATTTTATGATTCTCAAGTATATTGTATTTTATGATTCTCAACTATCGTGTATTTTATGATTCTCAAGTATATTATATTTTATGATTCTCAACTATCGTGTATTTTATGATTCTCAACTATAGTGTATTTGACGATTCTTGACTATAGTGTATTTTACGATTCTTGACTATAGTGTATTTTATGATTCTCAAGTACAGTGTATTTAATGATTCTCAAGTATATTGTATTTTATGATTCTCAACTATCGTGTATTTTATGATTCTCAACTATAGTGTATTTTACGATACACGACTATAGTGTATTTTATGATTCTCAAGTAAGGTGTATTTATCTATTCCATATTACTCAGAACTTTTCTGTAAATTAAATAAACCTGTCAGACACGTCACCTCTGAGGTTCAGAAACTCCCACAATGACTTTACCAATACATCGCCCAGATCTAAACTTTTCAGGTAGCAAAACACTGACCTGCATGACAGGTTTTTGTTCAATAGTTTCGACTATCTGCTGGTTTGGCTCTGTGCGAGAACCTTCAAAAGTTCACGATAAAAGTAACAAACAGCCAGGATATTTCTGTAAACCCAGGGCATAGAAATTATCCTTTTAGTACCCAAAGCCCTTTAACGTGAAACACACGCTGCCAGTAATCGGGCGTGTTTCTAAAATCATATAACGATTTTTTCGTAATATAGTATGAATTCACAGAAAAGTATCTTTTTGTTAATCCTACACAATTCTAAGTAGTCCTTAATGAATCCACGGAAGATTATCCTTTACTTAATCCTACACAATTCTAAGTAGTCTTTAATGAATCCACGGAAGAGTTTCGTTTAGTTAATCCTACACAATTCTAAGTAGTCTTTAATGAATCCACG